ACGTCTGAGTTTTCTCAGCAAGTTTTGTGAAACAGCCCTGAAACTATGCTTAAGTGTTCCTAAATTTCATTTGTTGTCAGTTCTTATTATAATGATTGGGGGGATCATTACATTCAGTAAGTACATTATTGTAATCGTTTTTTGTTTAATGATACAAAGATGCACATTCAACCCATTTTTAAGTATTTGCATGAATCAAATTACAAATTTTAACACATTTAATAGAAAACAATAGATTTTCACTTTGTATTTTATATAATTAAACCTTTTTTTTTTACATTTCGAGCTAATCTTATCTGATCATAAACACTAACTGCAGATTTTTCCCCCCCCTGACCATAACATTAACCTTCAAGATAAACTGTCTTTTCCGCCTCTGAATAACAGTACATGCTGTTTTTTTTGTGTAGCAACCACTCTTTTATGACATACATTTGTCTAAGAGGATGTATTGTTTTTTTTTTTTTATGCATCATTAACGTTTTTTATAGGGAACTGAGCCGAGACAGAGAAAGGGAAAGAGGAAGGGACAAGAAGCGGGACCAAGAAGATGAAGAGGACGCCTATGAACGCAGGAAACTGGAACGAAAACTCAGAGATAAGGAGGCAGCATATCAAGAGGTAGAAAAATCTTCAAAAGGATTTCCCTTTCCTACATTGATTAGTACTAGTGGAGTAAAATTAATTGGCACATTTGTTTCTTAAATAATTCAAATTTCTTTTAAGAACATGACATTTTTTAGCTTATGGAATTCTGTGTCTTAACTTGAGCCCAATGGTCTATGTCACAGCGTCTAAAAAACTGGGAGCTGAGGGAACGGAAAAGGGCTCGAGATTATGCCAAGGAGGCAGAAAGGGACGATGAGCGCAGACGAGAAATGGTGAGAGCATGTTACATGGGCATAACTCCCACGCTCATTTTTCAGGGATTAACATTCACTATCTACTATATTTTACTTAGTTTTTGCTGCAAATATTTGTTATAAACATAGTAACTATTTTCTTTTATTAGGTAAAAGAAGGCAAACGACTGAAGGAATTTCTTGAAGACTATGATGATGACAGAGATGATCCCAAATATTACAGGTGAGAAAGAACAATAGAACAAGGCTGCAGTTGTGTGTACATAACTTAGAGTATAGCGCAATGATTGGGCAAATGTCCATCCATCCATCCATTATCTGACACGATTTTCCCGAGTGGGATCGCGAGGGGTGCTGGTGCTTATCTCCAACTGTCTATGGACGAGAGGCGGGGTACACCCTGGACAGTCCATCGCAGGGCAACACAGAGACAAACAGGACACACAACCACTCATGCACACACTCACACCTGAGGGGAATTTGGAGAAGCAACTTAACCTAACAGTCATGTTTTTGGACTGTGAGAGGAAGCCAGAGTACCCGGAGAACATGCAAACTCCATGCAGAAAGACCCTGGGCCGGGAATCAAACCTAGAATCTTCTTGCTGCAAGGCAGCAGTGCTACCCACTGCTCCACTGAGCAGCTCGATTCGGCAAATATTAATCTGCAAATGCACTAAATATGTACATAATTGAGACCAAAGCACCAATTCGTTATAGAAATGGCTGCATTTGTTACCAAAGTTTTTTTTCGCTACTTTATACATTTCAGAAAACTGTAAGACATTTTTAGGTTTCTACGGTCTGAGTAATTATAGAATAAAGGGGAATAGAAAATATTCGTATTTCAAGACTTCATTTACTGTCCAGTTGTCTAGTAGGTGTGTCTCCACCCTCCCCCTATATGTTCTCCTTTCCAAGGCTTTTTACATCAATTTTCCTTTTTGCTTTCTTTCCACACGGTGTCCTAATGTCTTTCATTTCCTCAATTTAATTCTTCATTCATTGTGTCCTTCCCCCTCATTTTGTCTCTCCCCCTCTTTTCTATTCTGCCTTAGCTGCCTTTTTTCCCTGAACATAACATAGCAGATATGTTAATTGTTTCAAAGGCTGATGTTCTCACTATGACCCCTAGGGGCAGTGCGCTACAGAGAGAAGGAGATGGAGGCGGACGAGCGTGACAGGAAGAGAGAGAAGGAGGAGCTGGAGGAGATCAGACAGAGGCTGTTAGAAGAGGGACATCCAGACCCAGACGCAGAGCTACGAAGGGTATATTTGTCTCTTTATAAAAGGTTCTCTGTGTTCTTTGTTTTATTTGCTGAGGAGGCATGCTGTCTGTTGTTGAAGGTCATTTTCCCCTCTGAGTCTCTCTATCTGCTTTAATGTGTTTGCTTTCCTCTTACCTGCTCGTTATTGGTCCAGATGGAAGAAGAGGAGGAGGAGCGTCTGAGACAGCCACCCATCATTCAAGAGCCTCCACCTGAGGAGCAACGTGAACGCCACAGGAGTTCTAGAGACCACAGAGAACGGAGACAGGAGCCCGAGAAGACAAAACCCATCTCCCGGCCTCATCACTCTGATGATGAGGTGGAGGAGGGTGAGGAGGCAGATTATGATAATGAAGAAGACAACAACCTTGAAGTAAAACCACAGGTGAAGCCAATGATGCGGCCAATCACAGCCGCTCCTTCAGTATCGTCTGCAAGTGGCAATGTTTCCCCTAACACGCCTGGAGAGGAGTCGCCCTGCGGGATCATCATCCCTCATGAAAACTCCCCGCCTGACGCTCTGCCGCAGGATGAAAATCGCCCTAAGATCGGCCTCAGCCTGAAACTGGGTGAGAGGACATCACCTTTTTTTTCCTTTTATTAGATGAGCTTTGCTCATATGCTTGACTTGGTGTCAAAATATGGGGGGAAAATAACGTTATAAAGTAAGTGGGTAAGAAAGGAGAACAAACATGTTGAATTGATATTAAATGCAGAGTTGTTGTAGATTTAGAAGTTGAACAGATCCGATAACCACTGTAGGATGATTCCCAACCAGGGCACAGACCTGCTTAAAAAAAACAAACCAACCACTTTAAGAAATATCTAGAGGTTCTTAAGAGTAATTTGCTCAGATGCCCTCATAAGAAAAAAAAAAAAAACATGAAATGGTTTCAAATGTCCAGATTATCCCAAATTAACAATATATTTGCTGGGAAACAAACTCATGTGATTCACTTGTGTCCTCATCAGTTGCTACTGGAAGCCCAAGCCAGCCTAACGCAGGCAAGAGGAAGAAGCTTCCAGTGGACAGCGTTTTCAAAAAGCTCGATGAAGAGGAGGCAGACGAACAGCCACGCAAGAGGAAGTTGGTGCCCCTGGATTACGATGATGACAAGAGCCTTGGTGTGGATGGTGCAGGACTCTCTAGCATAAAAGGAGCCAACACTGAAGAGAAACGCAAACACATCAAGAGCCTAATAGAAAAGATTCCAACCGCAAAACCAGAGCTGTTCTCCTACCCCCTGGACTGGACAATGGTGGACTCGGTTAGAACCCCCTTTTTTATTTTCTTACGTTCTCTATTTAATGACCAGGTTGACATGGTTTCCTCTTGTCTATTCACATCTTAACAAATTTCCTGTGTTTCTTGTTTCTCAGACGTTAATGGAACGACGTGTTAGACCCTGGATCAATAAAAAAATCATTGAGTACATCGGTGAGGAAGAGCCGACATTAGTGGACTTTGTGTGCTCCAAGGTAATGATCATATTAAAAATGTGTTCTGATTTGGAGAAAAACTGAAGACATGCTGACATTTTTTGTTTGCTCTCAGGTGATGGCTCACAGTATGCCCCAAAGTATCTTGGATGATGTTGCCATGGTGAGCAAATTTTATTCACATCAATGTTACCTGGCTGAGTGCCCTAATCCTTTATTACTGCAGATACCTCCCATTTGTTAACTAGTGAAAAGAGTTTAAGATTTACCTTTTAAAATGTTTCAATTCACTTAACTAGCCTGTTTTAATGTTTAACATTTAAAATAATCTTTGTTTCCTGCTCAGGTACTCGATGAAGAAGCAGAGGTCTTCATTGTAAAGATGTGGCGGTTGCTCATCTATGAAACCGAGGCAAAGAAAATTGGACTGGTGAAATAAGCAAAACACCGAAATAAAGAAGCCCCTCCCCCAAAGTGTTTATACAAGTGTCGTAAAATGACATCATCCTGAACAGACTGTACCGTTGACAGCAGATGCATTTTCTTTTTATGTAACACACTCAGGCTCCATGCACTTCCCCTCTGGTTGCAGGTGGTGACTGCATACATCTTGCTTCTGTAAATATGCGTCATTAAAATAAGGAAGGATTCCTGTTTAGACATCTAGAATTATAGTTTCCATCAGACCCATGCTTTTATTTCTATACCTGCAGTAATTGCAGTTGGTCAACAAGCTTTCCTGAAATGGTTTTGAGGTAATTGGCTTCCAGCTTAAAGTGGGTGGAATTAATCTGCACTTTGTATGCTTAACTCAGTACTTCTTTCCCGTTTTTACAGGGGTATTTATTAGGGGTTTGACATAATTCACTCTGTTAACCACATTCCTGATAATTAGACACGTCTTTTTGTCAAACCAACTGCAGAACAGATTTATGGGTGGCAACATCCTTGAAAGGAAAAAAAAAGCACACCTGCTAACCACTATGAGAAATGGAACTATGAACAGGAAAGTTGTCTTTCTGGGGTTGTGAAAATGTTTTTTTGTAATGGTGAACATTTGATTAAAGCATTTTTTTTTAAAGTGTGAAGCTTTTTTCCTCTTAACCAAGTTACCATCAGATTGCAGTATAAAGGTTCATAATTAATGTTTAAAAGCCTTTAATGCTGCAGGTTTTAATTAGCAATTCAAAATGTAAAGTATATATTTCAAATGATTCTTTACAACTAATCTTTGGTCTGCTAAAATCTTTAAACAAGACACAGAGAAATGAAAATTTCCAGAACTTTATTGATTTTTACGTGAGCTACACATGGAGTAGGTCTTGCTTGTAAAATACTGGAGCTAGAAGAAAACCTTGTGGTTGGATGTAGATAGATGAGCGTCTTAAATCAGTCACCAGTTGAAGAAACATGAATGCTGAAGCAGAAGGTAAGTAAAGGCCACTGTTTGAGCAGCTATTGTTTATTCAGATACTACTGGTGTGAAACCTCTTTAGCCACCTGTGGGTTCATGTAGGGTTAAGGAGATCCTTTTACCAATCAATAAAATAACTGCTTGCATCCTGCAAGTTAAACTGACTCTACCCAGGCTCGTCCACGTCTTCTTTTTTCTTCAGTCCTCAGTTTTGGCCTCCATCTCTTCAGCGTCGTCATCCCCGTCTACCTCGGCATTCTCCCTTTCTAACCTCTCCAGCTGCCGGGCCAGCTCGGTCTCATCGGTGTCTGTCACCACCTTGGGCTGCCAGGGGACAATTCAGACTTTCATTTGCGTGCACGCATGTGATTTTGCTTTATTTCAACAAAATTGAAATCACAAATGACTTGTTAGCAGCTAATATTACAACTAGCATATCCCACTGTTCTTCAAACCCACATGTGAGATTTTATACAAGTTTAATTTGTCTTCAGTGCAAACATAAAATTTAACAGCTTATCTGCAATGCAGAGCTACATGTTAGAAATGCTCCTATGTAATGCATACTCATAAGAGTTAATGGTTTTCTCCCAGCAGTCTTTTTTTAAATGTAGGCATTTTTTTTCCCCAAACAGGGCTTGAGTGAATTTCATACATACAGGCGCACAAAAAAAAACAATTTCTAAAATGGAAAGGAGTTTTATTTATTTAAGGGAAGAAAGAGCAGCCCATAGCATTCAGATTAAAGGGGCCAGAATGATTCTATAGGGTATTTGGTGCTGGTCCTTAAGGTCTCTGTATAGGGTGTGTAACATTGGTTGGGCTGAAAATGGCATATTCGCTGTTCTATGAGCCCTAATGCAAGCCTGGTTAAAAGCCCTAGAATGAAACGACAGGTTTTTCTTTTTATGGTATGCTCATGAATAATTTAGATTAGCTGCGCTCTGATTGGTTGGTTTACAATGAGCGAAGCTGCTGAGCAAAGACATAGCAACAAGCAATTACTCACTGAAACATCAAATTGTTCACGTACTACTTTTCATAGCTTCAAAAAAAAATAAAAAAAAGTGTACGAGGGAATTTCAAAATCGTCCGGAATTTTGGTCGAATACAGTGCAGCATGTAGTCGAAACACACCGGGTAATTGAACCGAGTCGTCAGCTCCGGGAAACCCGGCGGACGGGGGTAGGGAGCCAGCAGGGGACAGAGCAACCGAACCCCACCCTGTGAAGGTAGCCTGGACACCAATGGCCCCGTGCTTCCCCACGCCTGCCTTACCGACCCCCTACCTCCGGCTGAGGACGGCGGCTCATGGCCCTCTGCTGGGGTCAGGTCCGAAAAGGTCAAAAAAAAAAAAATCAATATAGATTAGCCGATTGCAAAATTATCGTTAGATGCAACCAAAGTTAAGCTACATTGGAAAAACATAATGGAGAAAAAAAATATGAAATACAGTGAGTCTTAAGATGTTCAGAGATATAGACATGCAAACTAGGGCGGCAACTGAAGATTTTGCATATCGATTTATATGTAAATAATTTTCCAATTAATTGATTAATCTGATAGTCAAAAGTTCCTTCAAAAAGATTTTTTATGAAATTAAAACAAGTAGAACAAAAAATTTTCTTCTTGAGTTTTAGATAAAGCATAATGACAGACTAAAAAGTTTTTGATCTTAAATGCAAAACGTTAATTTTTTTTAATACAATTTTGATATAATTACTGCTCTAAGTGGGTCACTCTGTCAGCTAAAGGCATCTGGACATAATTTCAATAATCGATTAATCGATTGTTTCAGCTCTATTTAAACTTACAGCTATGATGGCAACATGTAAGGATGTTGAAAACAGAAAGCACACCTGAATCTGACTTTGAGGGAACTAATTTAGTATTAACCTCGATGGAAAAAATCATTTGCTTCACATTGGTTAAAAAAACAGCAACTTATAACTTCAAATATTTAGCCTTTTTGGTAAAAAAAATTTTGGAACACCAAGTTGCTTTTATATCCACCCAAACTGCAAGAACAAAGGAAATACTGTAACATACTGTATACTGAAGTTAAAATTTGGTTCTAAAGGTAAAAAAAAAAATCCTTCACCTCCATCTGGATATTGAAGACGCCTCTCTTCTCCTCTATCTTCTCCTTGATAGCAGCCATGGCCTGATTGAGGACAGACAGACCCTCTGTCCGCTCCAGGGTAGTTGTGGTCATCACGTAGCGAGGGGGAGCGATTAGGTTGATCTAAAATAAACAAAGCCACAATATTTAACCACAGTGGCAGCAATGAAACAACCACATCACAGGTGGAGGTTTGTTGACATGAGGCATCACCTTGATGGGCATGACCTCTGTGGAGCAGCCGAGTCCTGCTCTCAGAGCTTCCTTAACGGCATCGATGCCCTCATACCCATAGCATGCAACTTCAATGTCTGCAAGACAAAGAGGAAAACTACCCATCATTGGAACATCCTAACTCTAAGAGACCCATGCAGGAACCTCAGAACAAACCTGCTCTGATTTTGACCGCCTGTGGCGTTAGCCGCCTGTTGATGTTATCAATCAGCACGTTCCTCTCCTCTTCTGTTAAATCTAGGCCATCCAGAATGGCGGGGTCTCTGTTTAAAATGGAGTGTTTGCTGTAAAAAACTGACATTAGGAGCTGATCGACTTAATTCCTGGTGAACTTACGACACGGCCTGTTTGAAGACGTCGTAGGCTCCGTATCCCGGCCGCTTGTATTTCTCATCAAAGACCCAGGCGGTGCGCTGATAGAGGCTTTCTAGCTGCTCGTCCTTCGTGTACTCTAACACCTCTGCCACGTGTCGCAGGATACTGTACACCTGCAGGCACAACACTCAGTCAGCACATCAACATATCTCCACTAACTTTTACTCTATGTTATGCTTTAATCATTGAAGAGGAAAAAAAAAACGACAGGTTATAGAACTTACAGTTTTAGATTTAGTAAACTTGTCTTCACACTTGATGGCCTCCTCTGGTGAAACTCTTCTTTTTGATAAATCAATGTATCCTGGAGGAATAAAGAGAGCAAAATGCAGTAAAAGCTGTTTCAATAGAAAAAGTCTGATAAAATGTAAGTAAAATGTCACAGAAACATAATCAAAATTATTCATTAATTTACATAAACAGTTATCTTTCAAAAGTCTGTGTGAAAGATGGGGTGGTATGTGGAGAACCTGGTTTGGGGTTCAACTTTACAAACTTTAAAAGCAACAGAAAAGGCTTGTGTATATTAACCTCCCTTTCATGGATCAGTAGGTCACTACTGATATATTATTAAAGAGTAGTGGTTGCATCACTTGTTTGCAGTAAATCAATTACTTCTAGAAATACAATGCTCTAAACTTCATTCCTCAGTGCCCACCTTTCTCTTTATCGACTCGGATGACGACCACGCATTCGTTGCGGCCGATTCGGATGAGCTTGTTGATGGAGCGGATACGTCGGCGAGACAACTCGCTCAGGAGGATCATCCCCTCGATGTTGTTGTACTCCAGGAGGCTTACGTAGGCCCCCATTTCTGCGATAGACCTCACGTTCACCATCACCACATCGTCCACCTCTGGGAACCGGTGCTGGTAAAACCTACAGCTGAGTCCCGGCATCGCTGCAAGGAAACAAATGATGGAAATAGTAACGACCAACAGGTTCTCTTCAAAAGATCTTTGTTTTTTAACTGGAAAATAATAAAGATTTATATTGGATGGAAGGACCGAATGGAACAATGAAAACCTACAGCACTCGTATTGATATTAAAATCAAAAGCTCCATCATTAATTTGTTTGTTCAAGCTTTCAAAGTAATGGGAATTCAACTCTTTGAAATAGAAGTTTATCTAAATGGGAGTGAAAAGGCACCAATGCTTCTTATCGGAGATGAACACAAAAAAAATTGGAAAAGACAAATTGTTAATAAAACTTATCTGGAGAGAGAAAAGATATAATAACGTTGATGATATCAAGCACTGCAGCTGTAAAATAGGTTTTAATGTCGATTTAGAGAAGTACCTGAGGTTTAGCTGAGGCTACATCCTCAATGATAAATTCTTTTGCTTAAGGCCATTCTTAAAGGTCCCATGTTGTCTGCCACTACACTGTTAGCTTTAAAATCTAATACTGCAAACAGTTACCAGGGAAATTAAAATAGAAATTGTGGGATCTTAAATTGTTTCAACAGGTTATTTATATCAGTCATTTGGACAAAACTTCTGATATTTGATTGTTCTTTAAAATGTTGGATCTTAGCTCAGTGTTTGTGACAAGCTTTTCATCAAAAGGTTTTGATTTACCAACAACTCATTTGGATCACTCCTAATCTTTGCGTAAAGGTTTTCGAGGAACCCAGATGCTTTAAAAATGCACCTTCAAATCTTTTAACTAAAAATTAGCTTTAAAGTGATGATCACACACATGTGACTTCAGCATACTGACAAAAGACCATTGGTTGAATGGTCTTGGTGGTACCCGTGGACTTATCTACCCATTTAGTTAGTAAACTTTATTTATTTTACTATTATATGTAATAATTAATAATAATTGAACTTTATTGATCTCACTTTGGAGAAATTTACCTCTGCATTTAACCCGCCCCCTTGGGGAGCAGTGGGCTGCCATCGTGTGGCGCCCAGGGAGCAATCCAGAGTGGGATTCGAACTAACAACATCAGGATTCCAAGCTCTATGCCCTAAACACTAGGCCACCACTCCTCTGTTTGTATACACACCTTCATTTCTTAAAGATGTTAACACCCCGTTTGCAAAAAGGTGCGCTACCGCAGGTCATTCATCCCTGCTGCAACCAGACTCTACAACGGCAATACCTTGTGCAATTACTATTTGATACCATGTGCAATAACTGTTTTTCTATATTAGACACCCAGTGCCATCTATATAAATACAATATAAACACCCTGTGCAATAAGCCTGTGTAATAATCCCAAAAAAAAAAAAAAAAAAAAAAAAACCTGGTCATATGTGGAATAACTCTTTTTTAACTATTTGAGCTGATGTAGTGTAAATTTCTCCACTTTGAGATCAATAAAGACAATAAATCAATTTCAATTGTTATTACTACTGGACATATTATTAACGAGTTGGCATTTCCTAATGACGGCTGATTTTGCTTTTGCAATCAACAATTGCTTAAAGCATAAATAAACAAACAAACATGTTTCTTTCAGATACTACAATACTTATAACTGGCGTTTACAGCAAAACCCACATACATAAGTTGTTTTTTTTACTATCAAACATTTATTTCGTCCCTAAAACAGGAATATCCACCCCCTAAAAAAATAAAATAACTTGGTACATATGTTAAGCATTATTTGTGGCATGCCTCATCAGGTGCAGAAGACAGACTTGTAACTGCAATCTAAAGTAGACACAAACGCAAACATCTAACAGTCGTGTGGTAGTATAAATAAATAAATCGTTAAAGTTGCAATTAGTCCTGATTTTATGCATGTGTTTCAATATTTTTTTATAAATACTTTTACGTTTGAATGGGATGACGCAACGCTAGCAAATCTGCTTTTCTTTTAAAACTATGTCGAACTCTGACATAAACAAATATTGAAAAAATGCAGGGTTGAAACGTTCATATCAATTAACGAGCGGGTTCAAATAAGTCAAAGGTTGTAGTAAAAGAGGTGCGAGAAGAAGAATGATTTTTAAACAAAATAAACATCTACTTTAACATCTATTAGCTTCGAGGCTAACAACCCGGTTCCCCAATCACACGCGCCTCCTTCTAAGCTAGCTGCTAGCATCACCCGTCTCCTCCTAACTGCCCGGAACATCTTATCCATCGATTTAAACTTACCTGTGTCATGTGGTTACACGACGATAAACAGGGAATTTATTCACTAGGCGTGTTTAAATGTATCTCTAACGATTCTTTATTGAGTTGTCAAGACACAAAACCCGTCCCGCTATCTCACGTTTATTGGTGTGCTAAGAATGTTCGACCCGGAAAGGATTCATCGAGCCCAACGATCTGCGCATGCGCAGAGCGAGTTCTGGTGTAGGTCACATGACTACAGGCCAGCTGATCATCACGGACGAGGACAAGATCACGGCCATTAGCTTTATCTGTGCAGTTTCTTCTAAATGAAAGCATCTTTAATCATAATCTATAAATAGGAACTAAAACTACCTTGACGGGATCGAGTTTAGAGAGAGAAAGTAAAAAGAAGATAGCTGTAGTCGACTTAAAGACGACAAAATGTCTGGAAAGGAAAGGATTGACGTATTCCCCTCCAGAATGTAAGATACCCGTTTTTTTTTCTTCAGCTTGAATTTGTTTTTGCTTCCCAATTTCGATATTGATGTTTATTTGCATGTCTATCCTAAACGGGGGGACATTTTGTTTTGCATCGTGACTTAGTCATGGTGCCAGATATTTATGAAAGAGGAAGGATCCTTTCTGGAATCATGTGATGTTTCTAACATCGCATTTAAGTGTGAGGTATATCTCCCAGACGAAGGGTATCTGGACCGCATTGTCACCTTACAGCCACAGATAGCAATATATTGTATTTAAATTTTAAGTTTTGGGGCAACACAAATTGGTACATCATTTTTTTTCCTTAGAAGCTAAACCTCTGCCTTAGTCTGGTAATTGTTTTTCACTTTTAAAAAATATTTTAGTTTCTATCCATCTTTCCATTACTTTTGACCAGCTTCCCTCTTGCTGATGAAAACAATTCAGTTTCAATTAAGTCAATTTAAATAGCACCGATTCACAATACATGTTGACAATTAAATCAGATCATACAGTCAAATTGATTCAAACTTTTCTATCTAAGGAAAACCATTTGATTGCATGGACTCATTGAATCAAAGGCAATCCCACACACCAAGCATGCTTGTAGCGACGGTAGAGTGGAAAAACTCCCTTTTAACAGGAAGAAACCTCCAGCAGAAGCAGGCTCAGCCTGAGCTGCCATCTGCCGAGTCTCACTGGGGTTCAAGGAGAAAGAAGCAGAGATACAAAAGCCAGCTCTAAAGGTCCTGCCCAGGAAACACACAGCCTGGCAGACGAGCTCTAAGCCAGCTCCCATGTCAGAGGATGAAAGAGAGCACATACAGTTAAGGACTGGTTATACAGGTGCTGGTCATAAAATTAGAATATCATGAAAAAGTAGATTGATTTCAGTAATTCCATTTAAAAAGTGAAACTTGTATATTATATTCATACATTACATACAAACTCATATATTTCAGATGTTTATTTTGTTTAATTTTGATGATTACAAATGACAACAAATGAAAATCTCAAATTCATCATATCAGAAAATTAGAATATTACTGAAGACCAATAAAAACAAAGGATTTATAGAAATGTTGGCCAACTGAAAAGTATGAACATGAAAAGTATGAGCATGTACAGCACTCAGTATTTAGTTGGGCCTCCTTTGGCCTGTATTACTGCAGCAATGCGGCGTGGCATGGAGTCGATCAGTCTGTGGCACTGCTCAGGTGTTATGATAGCCCAGGTTGCTCTAATAGTGGCTTTTAGCTCTTCTGAATTGTTGGGTCTGGTGTATTGCATCTTCTTCTTCACAATACCCCATAGATTTTCTATGGGGTTAAGGTCAGGAGAGTTTGCTGGCCAATTAAGAACAGGGATACCATGGTCCTTCAACCAGGTACTGGTAGCTTTGGCACTGTGTGCAGGTGCCAAGTCCTGTTGGAAAATGAAATCTGCATCTCCAAAAAGTTGGTCAGCTGCAGGAAGCATGAAGTGCTCTAAAACTTCCTGGTATGTGGCTGCGTTGACCCTGGACCTCAGAAAACACAATGGACCAACACCAGCAGATGACATGGCACCCCAAACCATCACTGACTGTGGAAACTTTACACTGGACTTCAAGCAACGTGGATGAAGTGCCTCTCTTCTTTTCCTCCAGACTCTGGGACCTTGATTTCCAAAGGAAATGCAAAATTTACTTTCATCAGAGAACATGACTTTGGACCACTCACCAGCAGTCCAGTCCTGTTTCTCTTTAGCCCAGGCAAGACGCTTCTGACGCTGTCTGTGGTTCAAGAGTGGCTTGACACAAGGAATGCGACAGCAGAAACCCATGTCTTTCATACGTCTGTGTGTGGTGGTTCTTGAAGCACTCACTCCAGCTGCAGTCCACTCTTTGTGAATCTCCCCCACATTTTTGAATGGGTTTTGTTTCACAATCCTCTCCAGGGTGCGGTTATCTCTCTTGCTTGTACACTTTTTTCGACCACATCTTTTCCTTCCCTTCGCCTCTCTATTAATGTGCTTGGACACTGAGCTCTGTGAACAGCCAGCCTCTTTAGCGATGACCTTTTGTGTCTTGCCCTCCTTGTGCAAGGTGTCGATGGTCATCTTTTGGACAACTGTCAAGTCAGCAGTCTTCCCCATGATTGTGTAGCCTATAGAACTAGACTGAAAGACCATTTAAAGGCTTTTGCAGGTGGTTTGAGTTAATTAGCTGATTAGAGTGTGGCACCAGGGGCCATCAATTTTGAACCTTTTCACAATATTCTAATTTTCTGATATGATGAATTTGAGATTTTCATTTGTTGTCATTTGTAATCATCAAAATTAAACAAAATAAACATCTGAAATATATGAGTTTGTATGTAATGTATGAATATAATATACAAGTTTCACTTTTTAAATGGAATTACTGAAATCAATCTACTTTTTCATGATATTCTAATTTTATGACCAGCACCTGTACTCCCGCAGCAGTGTGTCACAGTGAGCTTGTCGCAGATATTTTTGATTTATTCCCAATATTGAAGCGTGGTTTGCCCTATGTCATTCCACGCCACAATGCAAGAGGGACAATCTCAAACTAGCTGTGGGTCTAGATACGGCGAAAGCGGCGAGGAAGTGAGGGCAAGTCTGTGCAACAACAGAGGGACATGGTGGCGAAAAAGAGTAGGGATCCAGGTGGAAAAAGGGTCCCAGCGTTCTTGCGCACCTTGATCTTCTAGCTGGTCCATCTTTACGAGTCGTTTTCCACAATGGGGGTCAAGTAAACAAAACAAGCCGGTAAGGTACTGAAAAGGGAAATATGGATAGTGTAGAGCGGATGTACATTTGACCAATCAGAGGCCTCCTGTCACTGTCTGCAATCCCCTACAATTTTGGAGAGGTTCACCAGAGTGTCTGTGGATGGGGCGGGGGCATATCTCTGTTAACTGCGACACACACGTAGACAACCTGGTTTCTGAGTATAAATCAGCCTTTAGTCACAGTCAGAGAAACAGTTCTACACTGAAAAACAGTCCATTTTGGCTCAAACAACGATGGATGGTGCCATCTGAACCTGATCATCCCTAGACGTTTTTCAGGGCTCTTTTGTTGCCATTTATATTTTCCATCGCTGTATTTGTTCCTCCTGTGGCCGTGTCCAGGGAGGTTAAGTGGTGTCCTATGGATCTTACATTTCTGAATAATATGTTCAACTGTAGTCACAGGATCATCGAGCTGCTTAAAGATGGCCCTATAGACGTCATGTTTAACATATTTGTCTGGTTTTCTTTCCTTCATTTCCTCTGATCCATGTTTAGTGTGGTACACACCATGCCATCAAACAGCACAGTAGCTGTGTTTCCATACAAATGTTGGCAAAGCAAAGCCAATATTATGCTAGTTTTGAAATGCAAAGATTCAAAATGGTGATATTTCCATGAAATAGCAAATAGGATTAAAATTGCAAACTAATGCATTTGTTCATAACATTACTCTGAAAAAAATACATGTTGGCGAAGGATGTAACAGCATAACATAAATCTATATATTCACCACTCTAGTGGGCCACCATCATCCTGCAAGTACTCCTGGTCTTCTCCTTTATCTTTTTATTTAAAAAAAATAGTAAAATAGTTTTTTTTGCATGAAATTTATTTTGTAATTACAATATGATGGTTGATGGAAACGCAGCCAGCGACTACCTGTAGCCCTATATATAGGCCCTCTGACTGATTACAGGATTGCAGACCCCTGTGATGCTAATTAGTGAACACCTTGATTTAACATGCGCCTATGCTCACATTATTTTCAGTCGTTTCTGGGGATACCATTGTTTTCTTCCCGGCTTGTTTTATGAGTTTTCTTTTTATTCCTTTTTTTTTTTTTTGAAGCCATTCTGTTTGAAGCATAGATATAGATGTCTGACTTTCATTTTTTCATTTTCATAGAATTTATATTTTTTATTAATGTTTTCAGATTAGAATCTTTACATTGTCTTTATTTATATATATATATATATATATATATATATATATATATATATATATATATATATATATATATATATATATATATAGATAGATAGATAGATAGATAGACAGATATAAAAATTTGTACATTTTTGACTTAATTTCTGCTCTGAGTTGGTTGTTTTTACAGGGAAGGGAATGTTAGTCATTAGGTGACAATTATATCAATCCTTGATCATTCACAATTAAGCCAATTAATTGTTCCAGTTCTGCAAAGCTTATTGCAGAGCAAGGAACCATACTCCCGATTTATGCTGGTGATGATTCTCAGTGCTCCTGATTTCTATCACTTTTCTATACAGGTTAGCATATCAGCATCTTTTCTTACCTGAGTTGCGGAGCACCAAGCTTCATAGTTACCTAGGGCCTTTTGTCTGCGTCTGATTAATGCTCTTCCTGCTCAACTTATTAATTTGTTTATTAATTGTTATTAATCTGCTTACATATGTAGTTATTTTATTTTATTTAACCTTTATTCAAATGGAAAACTCCTTTTTAAATAAAAAACCCTTTTTCCAAGTCAGTCCTGGCCAAGAAGCAACAAAGTTACACATTGAACAAAATTGCATTTACATTACATTAAAATGACAGGTACATAAAGAAAGCATATCACGTTTATAACTAACTATAATTCAGGCTGTCTCAAGTTTCAACATAAAAGCATTTAAGGGTAAAAAGTTTGTAGAAAATTCCACACATAAGGAGCTGCACAGATAAATCATTTCTTCCCTAGCTCTGTGTGGGCAAAAGAAACAGTGAGCAGCAGCTGGTCATTGGATCTCAGGGCTTAAGAGGCCATGCTTCTGTGTAAGTAATGTTCAAATGTAAGAGGGCAGTAATCTAAGCCTTGACACCGCCTCCTTGTGGAGAGGGAAGGCCATCCCACCTGAGAGTACAGGTCAGTGATGAGCCTCAACGAAGCCAGGTAAACAAAAGTCCAATATTTTCAAAAGAGGTAGCATTTATATAAAAAAAAGTCCCCATAATCTAAGATAGATTTTTTTTTTTAAAATGCAAGAGACGAGGCGGTTTTTCACTTAAAAAATATATCTATATATATATAACGAAAGAATAAACCCAATGTAAGATTTAATTTCTTCACAAGCTTAGCAATGAAAGGTTTAAAAGTGAGTCATCAATTACTATTGAAAGGTATTTATATTCAGTTATGTATTTCACTGTTTATTTTCAGATGATAGAAGAACTTAAAATAATGTTTTATTATCCAACCCTGCTTAAACTTCTACTGGGTTTGATCCCTGCCTTGGTTTTAATGATATAGCTGCTTCTGTAGGCAAAATTGAGATACTCAAATGTATGGTCAGGCTATCTGTTTTGTTTAAATTCAGAGTTGTGTAGCCTTTGCATTTATTGTGTTGTCTTTATCTTGTTAATGAAGGAAGAAAAAAAACAATACTGGCCTCCAGAATGGTCCCCACAAAATTTGGCAGCACATATTGGGAATTACCGTAGTGAGATTGGTTAATAATTAGTAATGGCATCAGTTTTAATAAACCTGTATTAGTTGATCTCTGAAGCAAAGCTTAAAGCGCTTCATTATTTTTAATGCCTTTCTTTCCATTTCCCTGTTTTATGCTTGTCTGTCCCAGAATGTTTTCAAAATAATGTAATATGACAGAATGTGGAAAATTCAAAAGTAAAGCACTTCAGCAAGGCACTGTAACACCATGACTAGATGGAAACCACTGGTGCTACTTAATGTCGTTTTAGGAATACATTTGCTCCCATCCTGTTAAGCACAGGTCTGTTAGTTCTGATGAGGGCAAACTTCCCTTAAAGTCTTTTTAAACACATGGGAAAAGGTTTTTTCTTAATTCTTGGATGGATGATCATAAAATTTGCTGGAAGGACTTACAGATGTCCATGTTTGTTGTTCTCTGTAGAAATGGACCTAATCCATTACTAAGGGAAATGGACGTGAAGGCAGCTATAGTCCATATTAACTATGGTTGTGTGCCTTCTTTGTGCTTCCAGGGCTCAGACCATCATGAAGGCTCGGCTGAAGGGAGCGCAGACCGGCCGCAGCCTGCTCAAGAAGAAATCTGACGCCCTTTCAATGCGTTTCCGTCAGATCCTTCGCAAAATTATCGAAGTCCGTAAAATCACTAATTCCATTCATTCTTTTGGCTTTGCTTTAGCTGTCAACACCCCTAAAATGTGCTCTCTTTGACTGATTCTTTAGACCAAAACCAAGATGGGAGAGGTGATGAGAGAGGCAGCTTTCTCTTTGGCTGAAGCCAAGTTTACCGCTGGAGATTTCAGGTAAGAATCGCTACCAGATCTGGCTGATGTCGCTCAGTTAAGAGCTGATGCATCGAGCAACTTTCCCCTTTTTCCGCAGCACGACTGTCATCCAGAACGTCAACAAAGCCCAGGTCAAGGTCCGAGCCAAAAAGGACAATGTAGCAGGTTAGCTTCTGAAATGTTTAACTGAAATCAGCCTGTGGGGGCCGGGGGCGCACTCATGCAGTCTGAATGTATTCTTCCAGGTGTGACCCTTCCAGTTTTTGAACACTACCAAGAAGGCGGGGACAGTAAGTTGAGCCCAGTTACTCTCTTCCGGTGCATCACCAACCTTCTTTTGTGCATTGATCCTACCTGTTTGTCTTCGTCAGGTTATGAACTCACTGGTCTGGCCAGAGGAGGAGAGCAGCTCTCCAGGCTGAAGAGGAACTATGCCAGAGCTGTGGAGCTGCTTGTAGAATTAGCATCTTTACAGGTAGCTAACCCTGCAGTATTTTTGGGAAAAAAGACTTGGATAGAAATTTCTGTTGACACATGCTCACATTTGTGTTTGCAGACATCTTTTGTCACTCTGGATGAAGCCATAAAGATCACCAACCGGCGTGTTAACGCCATCGAGCACGGTAAACTCCAACTTAGGAACTGCTGTAAATTATCTTATTTGAAAGATTATTTCTTATTTGAATGACTTCTCTTTTTTTCCCTGCTGCAGTGATCATTCCAAGGATTGACCGCACTCTGACTTACATCGTCACAGAGCTAGATGAGCGAGAAAGAGAGGAGTTCTACAGGTGAAGACCACGTCATACGGCCACACTAATTTTTGTTTGTTTATAAACATTAATTAAAACCAAGTCCATTACATACAATCCAATAAAGTTGGACTATTGGAGTAATATCTACAAAGTTCAAGAGACGTGAATAACTTTTAAAGGCATTTTCCACTTAAGTGTTTCTAAGATTTTCCGACCTTACTACACATCCTGTAATGATTTCTTTTTTTTTTCCTGACAGGCTGAAGAAAATCCAAGAGAAGAAGAAGCAGCTTCGGGAGAGGACAGAGCTGGAGATCGCTGCCAGGCTGGCTGCCCTGGGACCCATCGCTGAGCCCGCCAACATGCTGACGGAGGAGACGGACGAGGACCTGCTGTTTGAGTGAAGCCCTCTGCAGTTTGACCCTCATCATGTTATTTATTCTGTGCATCTCTGGCCATGTTTGTTTTCTCATACAAGCAATGAAAGTAATGTTTGTGTTTTATGTTTGAGATTATTCATTTTGATGTTTTTGTGTTGAAAGATCAGAGAAATGTCCAAGTGTGTCACTGTTCAGGAACCTGAGTGTTCCCTCAAAAACTCCTTTTCCACCAGAGAATCTAACAAGCAAACATCATTGTTTACATGGGGTTACAAGTGAAATAAATAATAAAAAAAAGCATTCCATGTGACTTGATCAGCTGTAGATATTCAAGTTTGTTCATAATATCTGGAGCCATTGCATGCTGTAAATCTTGATGTGGTTAAAGTTTTCAAAGAGTGTAAGAGTCTGTGATTTGGAAATCTGTTAATCTCCTGACTCTTATCTTGGGGTTGACCTCACGGGAGGGTGTTTGCCATCACATGGATTCTCTGTAATGTGTCACTGTAAAATGTGTGAGAGTCAATAAAGCCAGGCACTTCATAGAAATAAAGATGTTCTAAATAGTCACACATTGTTCTCGTTGGTATTTGCAAAAATGTTTGATTTAACATAGAAAAACAGATTAATATGTAAACAAGATGAAGGGAATACACCATCTTTGCACATCTGAATTTATTAACACTTTTACAAAGTGAGCAACACACAACAATACAAAGGTAATATAACAACCAACCTCAAGTTGTTGTTGAAGAATACATTACCAGGCAAAGGCATGTTTACTCCTGAAACTTTTCACATTTTATCACAATATTTGTATTTTATTGGGTTTTTATTTATCGTAATATGAAGCAATGTTTTAGGTTTGCTAGAAAGCTTCCGAAGACTGAATGTCTCTTGTCAGATCAGACCAGAATGCCTGTCATTGTGGAAAGCTAACACTACATAGCGCCATAAACCCACCATCCCTATGGTAAACTATGGCAGCATCATTATGTGGATGGGGTAGGGGCTCTAGATGCAGATGCAACCACATTTACTAATTATGTGTCATTTTTCTTCAGTTTGATAGTTATTAAATCATTGTTATTGGTCTATCAAAGAAAATGCAAATAATTTACTTTTTTTGGTTGTAATGTGACAAAATTGTAAAAAGCTCAAAGTGTAAATACTTTGCAAGGCGTATGAGACACAATACTGATATTGAGAGAGCTACAGCAGGTTTCTTACTCTGAAAGGAAGACTGCTCTAAAATCTATTGAATCTACTTCTAAGACCATTGAAGATGTTTTGGCTTTCAGTTTCATCAGAACGCTTTTTAAGAACTTGTCAAATGTGCCGTTTCTGGTGTGGCACACCCACCTGTGACAAAAAAATATTTAAACTCTGTCTAAAAATGTATATTTACAATTATAAATAACTATAAGAAATATAATAGAAATATATCTATATGAAAAAACACATTATTTTGCATAAAACTAAGACCAAACAATTATCGAAAGGAGAATCATCAGCAAAGATCAACACTTATGTCCGCCTGAGTAACAATTAAGCCCCAAAAAAGAGAGAATGTGCAAGGGAAAATCCAGTGTGAGCATAATACTGTCCGTCTCTTTTCATTTACCTTCTCATTCCCTGAGACTCTGAGTTGACACACAGCCCCCTCTAGCAGAGCCAAGATGTCGGCACCCACTGCGGTTCAGTGTCCAGTTTATCTATTAATCTTTGCAGCTCCTGGAACGTCTGGTCTGGATCAAAGTTTACGATGGTTGCATCAAAAAAATGGCTGTAATTTAGCTCCATCTCACGGGCTTTTTCAATGACCTCCCTCAGCTCCTCCGGCTGTGGGCAGAAATCAAAATAGACTTTAAAAAAAAAAAAAAATGACCCAGGCTATAAAAAGTGAGACTGAGAAAAAGCAAGCAGACAAGTTTCCACTATTTCTACTCTAATATTGTAGCTACTTAAGAGAAGCCAGGGGGATGCCTCTGACATTAACTTGTGTTTTTTAATGTTTGAAGGTCAGCATACCTTTAGTGTTTTCCCCTCTGTGGCCAGTAGAGTGCGTAGTTGTTCTTGAGAAGGAGGAGCAATGAAGATGACATATGGTTTAAGGTTGGAGGACCTTAGCACTTGCAGGGACTAGGAGGTAAAAATGAAGCTCATGAGAAAACAAAAAACAAGAGAGAAATAAAATCACAATAGTAAAAATGTAATAAAAACAACTCAAGAGTTTAGCTTCATTTTGTGGTGACTTTAAAATCTAACGAGCCATTGTGACTTTTAGACACCAGTAAAAGCATCAAGAGAAGCAAAAATTTACCCTCGTGTGAAGGCAGAGCAAACAGACGCGACCAGAGTTGACGACGTGTCGGACACATTCTATGCTTGTGCCATAAAGGTTTTTCCCATACTCCCCAGATTCAATGAACTTCCCTGCAGCCAAGTCTGTCTCAAAGGTGGAGCGACTGACAAAATGGTATTCACGTCCATTTCGCTCATGTATCCTCGGGTTTCTGGTTGTGTCTAAGGATTAAACAGAGAGACACATTTTTAGATGCTTCCAAGTTTAACTTTTCAGCTCTCAGTCCTTAAGTGTAGGAGGTTAGATTATATCAGACACCATTGACGGGCTATGAATATGTAACTTGGAAAGACGAACAACTTAAAAGGAATGAAGGATGGAAGGGATGAAAGAAAGAAGCAGAAAAAGAACTAAGGAAAGAGGGCCACTAGAACAGAAAGGAAATATTAACAAAGGTCACAAATAAGAAAGAAAATAAGAAAGGAAGGACATGATGAAAGAAAAGACAAAACATAAGACAAAATAAAGAAAGAAGCAATGATGGAAAGGATTGAGGCAGTATAAAGGGAAATAAATGAAGAAAGTAGGCAGGAAGGATGGACAGAAGCACAAAGACAGAAATATGAAACGCAAAATGGGTAAAAGGAAGAAAGGACAGATTAAAGTAAAGAAAAAAAGTGGGACAAAGGTAGAAAGGTGACAAGGAAAGAAGAACAGAAGATGCATTATTCACAAGGAAGGAAGAAATGACACAATGCAGAACAGAGGTAAGTAGAGAAGGAGAAAGATAGAGGGAGGGTAGAAGGAAAGGAAGGTACATAAGGAAGGACCACCATGGTGCTAAAGACTAAGGGCCTGATCTATTTAAGGTCTGCATATATAAAAGCACATGCAAACTTGATAGCATGGGGAGAGTTAATCTGCAAAGTAGTTGCATCAAGGTTTGTATCTGTATAATGAAAACAGCAGGTCTGTTCATTAATATGCAGAATACATGCTGACCATCAAAACAAACAAAATACTGGGAGGAGGAAATGCAAATGTACATGGTAGAGACATTTTGTCAATCAAGCAGCTATTTTTTTAAACTGCTAGATGAACTAAGGGCTGTGACTTGGAGCCACTAACAAATAGAAGCCATCCATATCTCCTAAGGAAAGACTCTTTACAACAATACATAATCTGAATGTATAATTCCAGCACACAATCACAGTTACTCTCACAGAGTAGTTTCTCTGGTGTGCTGTTCTCTGTTAATCAGTGGCTAAATGGATTATTATATTTTATAAGTAGCTTCTCTCTGTAAGACGATATGATAGGGAGATTATTATAATCAATTAAAACAATAACTTCAACAGAATAATCAAGACCGGGAGAAGCTACTTTGCCACATTAGGTCCTTTTTTTCTCCCCCGTGCTTGCATCCTTTCCAGATAGCGATCATACCTGACAACCATGTGCAGTGCTGTTGCAAATTTCAACTGCCTTTTGGAAACACAATATAAACCCATTCTGCTCTCACAAACTCTTCATGATGATAGCTTTCATTACAAGGAAAACCTAATTTAAAACTGACTGCTTGCCCCTCTTTTGGACCCGTTATGTATCAGCTCACTGGCAACACACCTTTAAACTGCAGCTGAATTGTTTTATATGCAACAAGTAAAATTTAGTGCTCCTTATTTGGGACCTTAATAGATTGTGACCTAAGGGGGAGGAAAACAAGGGCTGAAAAACATAAAGAAAGATAAAAGGGCAGATGGAAGGAGTGAACTAGGAAACAAATTTAAGGGAGAAAAAAATAGGAAATAAAAAAATAGGAAAAAAATAGGAAATAAAAAAAATCCTTGCCAATCCTCCCCACCCCAGAAAACAAAACACTGTTAGCTGTTTTTAATATACTGTTGCTTAAACTGAGTGAGGACTTACGTGGAACAGCTACGGCAAACTTCTCTGGCTCTATGGACAAAAGTCTACGCCGCAACTCGTCATGGCCGCTGTTCGCCGGACCAACCAGAGCTACGGGTCGTTTACGATTAGCAGGCTGGTGGTAGAGTGACATTTCCTCATAGGTCAAGATGTCATCGTAGTCTGAGGAGACAGTTTAGGAGAGCTTAAAGAAACGCCACTGACCATAAAAGCACTTTGTGCATTTGACCTTCTGCTAAACATGTTATGGTTTTGATAAAACGTTCCCAAGGTTTAGCAATTGTTAGTCTCTGACCAGCTTGACTTTGCCTACATGGGGGTCTGTGTATGTTGTAAAGTTGTCTCTACTGTATATGTGGACCATAGAACCACATGTCTCCTGAAGCCATATAAGCTCCAGCTGATCCGGTCTTTGAAGGCAAGTCTAATCTGACTTGTGACACAACAAGTCAGGACAAGCTGCTGTAAGAAAGGCGAGGTGTGTCAACTTCAGCTTCTGTGTAGGCGTAACCCTAACAGTGGCCTGGGTTAATGAAATAAAGGAGGTTTTACCAGTGTTTCTGTTCAATGCTGATGTGTTCCTTCTTCTTAGTTTCCTGCTTTTCTTTGAACACCAAATCTTCCCTGTGAGCATGAAAAAAATTATTTGAAATTGTTAAATTGCTTAAATGTTTACATTTTCAAATCGTACCTTGCTGCTCCCGACTTCTGTCTGGTACAGTTTTCTTTAGGCTCTCTCTCTGTTGTTGGAAACTTTTACCTGAAGTAGAAAAAAATAGAAAAACACAAAATTTAAGATCCAACCAGTGTAGATGCATCTTAATAAAAAAAGTAAAAATTTTCCTAATATTCCAACAGCCAAAAAAACCTCATGGCATTTTTTTTCATTTTATTTTTATAGCACTATAGAACAGTTAACAATTGTTATTATTTTTGACATAAAAAAACAACAAAAACTGATTCTGATTCTGCAAAAAAGCTAAAGCTCAGGCAGACTGAAAACATATGCTCATTGTGATTTTCAATTATTGGAAAAGATTCTCAATTGGATTTCCATTCAGAGTAAGACTGGTTCACTTTGGTGCTGAAACTCTGCCCCAAATTTAAGCCAACTGCATTCTCTATCAGGTTTTCTTATATGACGACCCACTACACCCTAGGACCATCTTATATGTTTAGACAGAAAAAAAAATGATTCTGCCACCACCTTGTTAAACCAAGTTCATAGTGCTGTCAGGGTATGTGCAGTATTAGCTTTACCAAACGTAGCAGTAAAACTAGGGCTGTGTTATAAACATAGATTTTCCTATTCTGAATCAATTCTCACAGAAATTTCTAAAGATAGATTCATATAACCAATAAGTCATTTTGGAAAAAAGAAAAAAACAAAAACACATATTTTTCACTGTCCTCACAACTGCCATTAACTAGCTTTACTTTACCAACTTGCAGCTGAATGCTAATTCAATCCTAGTTTCAATATTTTCCATAACCACAGAGTTGTGTAATGCAGGCAACAGCATAGAACTTTTAATATGAGGAATCCAATTTGAGATCGGACCAGATTGGCTCAGAGGCTGCAGTGGAGCAGTGGGTAGCACAAGAAGGTTGCAGCTTGCAACAAGAAGGTTCTGGGTTCGATTCCTGGCTTGGGGTCTTTCTGCATGTTCTCTCTGGGTACTCCAGCTCCTCTACACCAAAAACATGACTGTTAGGTTAATTGGCTTCTCTAAATTCTCCTTGTGGGTATGTGAATGGTTGTCTATCTTGTTTAGCTCTGTGTTGCCCTGCGATAGACTGACAACCCCCTCCTCTTGGCTGTAGACAGCTGGAGATAGGCACCAGCACCCCTTGTGACCCTGCTTGGCTTAGACATGATGAAAAATGGATGAATAAAAAAAATTGTTATGTTTTTTACTACCTAAGTCATTTTCCATTTAGTTCCATTACAAGTACCAAGCGGAACCTTATGGCAACAGCCATATTGGTTTACTTTTTTAAGCAAAGCTGTTGGGCTATCATCTAGCTCTGAGACATCTATTCCCAGAGCCAAAAAAATTTAATTGATTCAAAATCTTGAATGTAGACCAGAAAAAATTAGAGTTTGGGTGAACAGGGCCCCTTCTTCCCATAAGTGACTTTCGGTGCACTGCGGTAAACTGACACAGATTTTGTAAGGTTTTCTTTTTACATGTCATTCATAAAACCTAGATTTGGGGAACATTACATTATGAGCTCTACGATTGTTCAGCATTTTCTCTAAAAAGCTTTTGCGACTTTCCGAGACCAGCTTGATTTATACGGACATTAAACCACAGATTCTATTTACTAGTTAGGTGACTTGGAATACAATTAGATGAACTGTATTTTATTTTAGGGGTATTAGAATAAAGTTTGGGTGAATATAATGTCATGATTTAGATTCTAAAGTGTTTATTTACTTTTCATCATTTTTTATGTATCACGTATATATTAAATATCCCAATAAAATCCACTGAAGTTTGTGGTTTTAATAAGTCAAAATGTGAAAAAAAAAGCTAGAGGGATTGGAATACTACTGGGAAAAATACTGTGAAATGAAAAATAACTGACATTTAAAGTTGTTTTGTACTTTTTTAGACATCTGAGTAAAAGAGCAAAAGGCAGCGTACTTTCCATTTTAAGCACTTAACTTTGTTTACTAAGACCCCCTATAGAGTCTAGGTCAGAGTGCAGTTACAAATACTTCCAAGGTGTTTGTTTTAATCTGCTGGATGTAACAGATGGTTGACAAATCTCACCAGGAAAGCAGACCTAAGTAAGCCATTTGTCTCTTCAAACTCATTTTTAACTCAGTTTTAAAAAACAAATGGAGTTGCAGATAATAATTAAGACATCCTAATAATCACTCCTCCGTATATGCATCCATATAAAATATAATATCTGTCTTTACCATATGTATTTTCTTGAAGTAAGAAGTTGCTTTGATACTTTGAATTGTGTCATTATTTGTTTTTCCTCCTTCAGAAATGGCCTAAGGATTTATAGTGTTTTTAATAGGCAGGTTTTCTCTGCTGACCATCATCAATAATTTGTACAAACTGCCCTAATGTATTCAAGAGAGACAAAGTGGCTTTACAAGAAACCAAAGACCAGTTTTCACTTAACACCTTACCTTGCGTTGCTAAAGGTAATGTTAACATCTTGTCTTAGCACGCCTACAGACAGTGAGATTTCCACTATCCTATTAGGTTTGCAGTAAGCCACCTGTGCAACACTGATCTAATAAATGCTAATCATGTTTCAAGCATTTCTTTTTCCAAAACAAACTCTGATAAATTCCCTTTGTTTTCCCCTCTATGTTTTATTGGCATATTTATACCAGCCTGAGAATAAATAAAATATACCAAAAAAGGGAAAGGTGTTTACTGTCAAATAGAGCCTTTTTAATCTATGTTTTACAATGGAAGAGTCCAATGTAAATCTCTTTTTGTCTTTATTACCTTACTACTAGCTTTAAGTTAACTAATCTTCTTTGAAACTTTTTACGGGGCTGGTTAGATGATAGAGGTCAAAGCAGGAGTTGTGCACCCAGATGGTCATTAGAATGTAGTCCAAGGCTAATATTAGTTCACAACTACAACAGCCATCTTTGACACTCCAAAGCACTGTGACTGAGGCTACCATTTTAGAGAAAATGCAGCTGGAACTTGCATTAATTTATTGGGAATTTATTTCTGTTGAAAATACTTGAGAAAGTGTGAGACAGTACTGAAATACACAATGCTTACTAAAGTATAAAAATGAAACATGAGTTTTACAGCAATCTGTATTAAAGTAAAAGCCAGCGAAACTCATTAAAATTACATTTGAAAAAAAGCTAAACAGACAAAAAATAAAAACCAAAATGTTTCTAAAGAGCTCAACCATGAGATTACCAGGAATGAGGCCAGCCAGAGGCTGGTTGTCCTCGTCTCCATCTCTGTAGGCCTGCCACCAGTTGGGGTCATCCTGGCTAATAACATGGAGTATATCTCCTTTGTGGAAGGAAAGACCCAGCTCCCTACATGGCACGAAGGGGTCATCAGAGGGATCATAGTCAAAGTAAGCTCGCACATGCATCTGAGGAGAGGGTTTACAGCAGCAGATTTAGTGCTTGTTTGCATGCCATCAAGAGTTCTCATGCACTCTCACACCATATTAGACTTACCACACTTTGCCTGTGAGGAGCAGGTTTATTATGAGAGCTCGGGATGAGGAGGAAGGTTAGAGTTCCTTGCATTTCTTGCTGTTAAATACATAAGAAAACAGTACGTAACATACAACTTATATAGATTCTGTCGAAATGTTCACAACACCTGGAACTTTTTTTACATTTGTTTAGGGCAAATTTCAGCACATTTTCTTGAGACTTGATGTGACAGACCAACACAAAACTGCAGTGGCTGAAAATAAAGAAATTATTTACAAATGCAAAAAAAAGTTATATTCACACCATTTTTATCTAATCAAACAAAATTCAGGAACACAAACTTCTTTAAGAACATATCTACTCTTAGTTAAATGTAATATCAGCACACCTTACATACTGACTGTGTACAACTTGAAGGTTTAATAATAATATCTAGTTTACCTTCCAGTAGGATATTATATGAATATTTATGAATATAAATGCATGCTTCACTTTAAGTTTTAATGATCAAAAAAACTTTAAAACCATGTCACATTTCATTCCACCCTTTGACATGGGCTTAACATGTATTTGTCTATCAAATTAACCTCGATACAATAACCTCAAGGTTAAATGTTGTAAAGCACTGCGTGTTTAAAAGTGCATTGAAAAATGTTCTTTTTATAGTATTATGCAATAATGTGGGTGAAAAGTGTTTAAAATTTTGGAAGAGTTTGGAAATAAAAAAATCAGAACTGCATATTAAAGGACATCAATCTAACAGTTGTGGTTACCATTAAATCGTGAACTTCGTTTATGTGTTTTCCACGGATAGGAATCCCGTTGATTTCCAGGATCTCATCTCCCTCACTGAGGAGTCCGCTCCGTTCTGCCGCGCCGCCTTTCACCACACGACTCACCACCACATTGTCCATGTCATTACGCACTGTTGCACCCTGATAGCAAGACACCCAAGAAGGAAGATCACAAAAGTTTTGTTAACAGTCTTTAAACGGTTACTCCAATCCAAGGAGAAACACATGTCATATACAGTGAAGGGAGAAATAGGGCAATCGGGAAAAGCAAGCAAAGTCGTTAAGACAGTTTTGAAAGTGGGTGATGATACATACAGACAGTAGGAGTAACTCAAAGTTCATATCTCACCAGAGGGGTGTCTCTGGCCTTCTGGAGCCGCACTAATTTAACCGTCTCTCCGAGGTACTGGGTCACACTTTCCTCTGGGATTTCCTGTACGGCGACACTGTCATGAGCCTGCATCAGTGCCTGCCATAGAAACACACATTGTTAAACTTATATTAAGACAAACATTTAGAAATTTGAAACCACAGATATTGATATAAGGTAGCTTTGAAATTCATAAAAAACAAAAGCAGTAGTGTCTTTTATTATCCAAAGCTATCCAAGCACAGAGGCCACTCCCTTAGCTAAGTCAATGGGACACCTTTTTGCCCAAAAAGCCATTAACATCACACTAAGTAATGCCTTTCCTATAAGAGAGCAGACCTAAGCTTAGCTCCTGTGTGCACACAACCTGTTTAAATCTCCCTAAGCGCCAAGGAGCCAGAATTAACACCACACATCAATAAATGCTGATTACATGTCTTTATGAATCAAGGGGTTAAAGTAGAAACCAAACGAAAGGTGAATGTTGGTCTCACAAGGACAGGCTTAATTCCATTCATGCCTGAAATGCTTTGCACCATGACAACACAATAGTTGGCAGCAGTGTGTTTCAGCTTCCAAAGATAAATTAATATAATGTGTTTTAAGTTGATTGTACTTTACATGGTCAGATAACTTTATATATCTTCCTGGCCCCCATCCATCTTTGTTCAGCTAGAATTTAAAACAATTCAATTAAAGCATCTTTCTAGTTCTTAACCAGCTGACACAAAATAGCTTCCAACGTTGGGTGAAAATAATTTCCAAATAACTGAAACCAATTTTTTATAGTATTTCTGAAGAAGTAAAATTAAGCATTGGGGAACTTTACAGAGAATCTCAGAGAAAAATTAATGGCACTGTATTATTATGTTGCAAAAAACCAGCAATTTGTGAGTACTTTTTTTTCTTTATCCAAGCTATAATATTTGCACCATTAACATATAAATCCATTATTTCAAGAATTGGGGTTTTGACATCTTGAAAGGGTTCAAATAATTTGTAACTTGCCACTTTGAAAAAAAAAGCTAATTAAAACAGATATTTTCTTTCTTTTAAGCATTTATTTTTTGCAGTAAGAGCATTTAATTTTTTAAGCTTTAAAAGTACTCTGACAGGAAATGGAAAATGTGGCAGAAACTAAGGCTTCCAATAAAATACTTTAATAAAAAAAACTAATAGCACTCTAGGGCTGTATTATTTTGCCATTAAGAGTCAATTTATGTAAATCTGAGAGATGTATATAAAAAAGTTTTGGCTTAACAATTAAAAAAGGGTTTTTAACCTTGTTATAAATTATAAAAAGGAGTTTAAGACAGAAGTGAAGAAAACACTCACCTGAATGAGTTAATGCATAAAAAACAAGCTTGAGATTTCATCATGCCAGACAATCAGACAATGATAAAGCCATCACACCAAACAAGCTAAAGCTCACATCACCCCATAATTATGCTTTACTGAATTGTTATTTAGCAAATGATGATACATGATGAAACCGCAAGGAAAAAAGTGTTACCTTGAAAACACATTTTATCTTAAGATAAGGGCATGAAGGTTGCATATTATAACAATAAAACAAGGGTGAGTTCAAAAAAATTTGTTTGTTAGCGTCACTAATTTCAGTCATTTATATTTAAGATTTCTTGGTTAATTAACAGTTTATGTTAATAATAGTGCAAAAACATGCTCTCATAAGTGAAATCTAGTTGTTTTCATATGACTATGTTTGTGTTGAAGTTCCTGGCTGGAAACCCACAGAAAAACCCATAGATGAATACAGTTTTCTGTTAACAATAAGTGGCTTAGGTTTAGGGGATAAAATATGTTTTTGTGTTGGAAAGTTAAATGCTAGGAAAACACGAATATGAAACAATAAATACTATAAAGAATTTCAGCAAATTAAAAAGAGATAGTTGACAGGAAATTCTCTGGAAAATTGTTACTTCTAAAATAGAAAAAGTACTTGAAACAAAATTTTGATTTCAAAGGAGTAATTTGCATCTAGAATAAAAACTTATATCTGTCCTGTTTTGAAAAAAACATAACTAAACTTTTTTTTTTTTTTTTGCTGGCTCATCAATGAACAGGTAACATAAAGTTCAACTTCAGGCACGTCCTGACGAGTAGATAAAAAGAAGTAAATCCAGTCCCCAAGCAGATAACAGCACAAACATGACGACAGCCAGGGATGGGGAGTTTGGTAAGAGACAATGTATTCTGATGAAAGTAGCAGTAGTATTCAAACTCTGACACAAACTTTTCCGCTGCCTTTCAGACAGCAAGATGTTAATTTGTTAAACTCTGAACTTTGACTTCCCAGTGTAAGATGCTGGAGAAACAATTACCCTTTTGGAGGCAGTCGTGTATAACATTAATTATATTTCCAGCAGTTTAATTGCCTGAATTCTAACTCAATAAACGAGCGGATGAGTAAGGCTCTGCGGATTTGTGAGAAAAAAAAAACATATAATCATATTAAAGGTCAAGCAGAGGTCTCAGCTGGAAAGCTGGTCTCTGACCTGGAGATGGGGATTGGTGAGCAGCGCGCTGAGCTCCAAACCCTCCTTTTGTTGGCTTGTCTGGAGGATCCTCTGAACCTGAACAAAGACAGATTACGGTTCCATAAATCTGACACCAAGACATCAAAACCTGCAGATCAGAAAAAATAATAAACTAGGGTTTCAAAATAAATCCTACTGGTAATTTCTTAAACCTTACTAAAAGTGTTTGACACTGTACCTAAAACTTCTATTTTTTTCAGACATGTTTAAGCTTCAAACGGCATAAAACAATAAAGAAATTGTGTGTTTTTTTAATAGATGAAAGCTATCCAAAAGAGCAATAAATAAAACAAAAAAAGCTTGCCTAGGATGATGACTGTTTTAGGCTACTTTTATCTCTTCACAACTTGACATAAATATGTTTTTTCACCTACTATTGAACATCCCTCCCTCCATCATTATCTCTCATTCACAGAATTAAAAACAGTTGGGATTTAGGGAAAATAGGTCTGTGTTCCCGCCTTTTAGTTAGAGCATGTGCAGACCCCAATATTATTCACTTGGCTACCCTCAAACTAAAAATACCAGAGGCTCGAGACGTGGCTCTTACTCTTTTAAGAAAAACAGAATATAGATATATTGTTGTTGTTATCTGCTGTACATATATAAATATTAACATTGCATTAACATTTTAAAGCCTATCCACTGTCCAGTGGGTTTCTATTTTAGATCATATGGGTCTTGTGTTGTCAGGCCAATTGGTCTGCCCTTCGGCCTCTTCACCTCTTGTTCAGAGCTTAGTTCATCCATTACATTAATCAAAGCTCTCACTAACAAGGTGACGCACTCGCCCCTCCCCCATAAGCAGAGCTGCACCTCAGCCCATGCTGCTATAAGCTGCTGGAGTTTCTTTTTCTGGATGTGCAGATCCTGGCCCTCGTCCTGCGGTGTGCTGCCGCGCTCAGCTAGCGCAGGGGGCTGCTAGGAGATTAGTTTACATAATGGTCAGTGTGAGTATCACACAGCACAGGCGTTTAGTTTAGTCTTACTGCAACTGGAAAGCTGTGTCTGGTGCATGAAAGAATACACAGTCTGTGCGTGAGCATGTGTGAGCATGTATAAAGCAAGTATCGACTACTGCAGCCAGCCTGTTTATCTCCGAATCAGTCCTGCGATAACTGGAGTAACTGTCCTTTTAGAATGTTGCCTGCAGTTTATGGGCTTTAGGTCAAAAGCATTACAAGTCAATTGTAAAGTTGTAACACAAATTAAATAGAGTACATATTACCAAGGGCCATCCATGTTTTTCATTCTAAAATCCATGCTTTTCTCCCAAACTTACAAAGAAATCAGTGTTTTTACCAATTTCACAGTTACAGTATTAGCAACATTTACGCTTCTTTTAGAAGCTTTAGACGTCAGACATTGATTAAAGGACCTGTGAAAAGCAAAGACTGGATAGAAGATAAAAAATGGATGGATGGATGGATGGATGGATGGATGGATGGATGGATGGATGGATGGATGGATGGATGGATGGATGGATGGATGGATGGATGGA